ATCTGATCTGGATGATTTTACTACCAAAATAACTGTCTCAATGAGACAGATACAATAAGCTTAAAATCACCAAGGAGGTCATTTAAGCGGCAAAAACATCTAAGTTATTGGTCATTAAACATATATTTCATTTTAAATTTTGAATTTTAATTGGTCGGCGATTGCGTGACAAAAGCTCAATACTCAAGTTATATCCCCACCTTAATTATATCCCCAAAATTGCTCTAGAAAAAAGGGGGGATATAACTCAGGTATGACTGTAATATCGTCATTTGTATTATTGATTTTTATATGACAATAACTAAAATTACGTCATAATAATTGTGCACTATTCCTATTGTTACTATTGTAGGGAGAGCAAAAAGAATATAAGGTCGGTTTAGCTGCAATAGTAAGCGTGGTGAGGTTATAAGTATTATCCGTTAGGACTATACACGTGATATAAGGTCACGAAAGATCAAAATCGGGATCTGGGTGGGTTACCACTTAATTAGGTCAAATCGGGGATTATGTCATAGAAGTTTGTCTGAATGGCTAATAAATTCAATTTAATTTTAACATTATTTATACAGTTTAAAGTACTTTTTAGAAAAAATAAAACTACGAAGAATAAACAAAAAGAAAAATATGAAAAGTTTTATTAGGGTTGTAGGACTCCACCATTAAAAATAATCTAATTCAATTCTGGTTTTAGAGAAGTTAGCATAATAGCGACTTATTAAAAATAGGTTATTACCGTTGTTACCATCCGAAATTGGGAGAACGTCAGATAGGGTAAGTGCTAAGATAGATCAGGGTGGTAAACGAATATGTAATACGTCGGATTGGGGTGTAAATCACATAAAAGACAAAATAACACAAAATAACACTAAGCTTCAAATAAACCGAATAAACTCTAGCTAAACTCTGGCTAAACTGCAAAAAGCATATAGTCACGATTCTTAACAAGACAATACGTTTATTATATCAATGAGGAGGAAGTCTACTCAAGACAAAAACCTGAGGCAAAAACCTGCTATACAAGAAAGGTGAATACATCGGGTTTATATACATGTCTAACTAGATTTCCCTTCGATACATTACAGACAACTATTACATCGTTTCACATCACCAATCTTCATTTACTAATAATACCAATTAAACTTTCCAATGCATCAAGGTCCGAATTATTAGTTACACATAAACCACTAATCTCAGATTGATGTCACTCAAACCTCAGACTCGATTGTTAATAGTGTTTGTACTGTAGCCCGGAAAATTTTTGATCTCCAGAAATTTAAATTTTGGGTGCAGCTGACCTCACGTGTGTCATCCGCAGCCTATTGTGACTATCTTGTTTTCCTGGTGATTACCGCATATATTAGTTATCTTGCATTTCTTAAAAATAATGCATCAAGGGATAAGAGATTTCAGACTTATAGTTCCGATATTAGTTATCAGTCTTTTATTTTAGTTAGAGATTATAGTAGCTATATGGATGTTCACTATTATATTTCATTAATCATGTCATATTCTAATGATCCCTTCCCCGACAAGCTACTAAGTTCGATAGTAGAGTCGTCATGTTTAACTTGATTACTGTATTACCCCCCCGAGAGTTGTATCCTGACGCAGTGTTTAAAATTCAAAGTAAAAATTATGTGCACAAATGTATTTTGTGCATCTTTTTTCATCTTTTTTGGAAAATTTTATGTGCACACTTAATAAATTTTTTAAAAATTCATAAAAAACTCGTGCACATGTGCATCTTGTGCAAACACTGTCCTGACGTATTGTGGATATATTTCCTTCCCTATAAAAAAAAGTTTGTTCTGTTTTTGTTCCGTTTTTGTTCAGCTTTTGTCGATATTGTTCAAAAAAAGTTCAGAACGGAGTCATTATCGTAGTGAAGGCAGGACAAAAATCGTACATATTTTTATAATTGAAAAATTTAAAAATGTGCAATTTTTATTCTGTTTTTATACTTTAATGACTCCATTCTGAACTTTTTTTGAAAAATATCGACAAAAATTGAACAAAAGCAGACAAATTTTTTTATAGGGCTTGCGTGTTGGTTCCTGTGTTTGAGTATTACTGGATCGATTATCATCACATGATATCGGTTGAAAGATGCCGAAGCCTTAAAACCATTCCACTCACCTAAATCTAAACGTCTCTTTCGATAGGTTATCTTGGTTGTGTTGGTTTGTTTGATTGATTTTGTGTATTCCCGGCAAACCATTTTCCCCGTGTAACAGTACGTCGGACCAATTTACCTGCAGACCGGTCTAGAGATCTGACAAAATTAATAAGAATAGCTGCATGTAGGAATAATTATAAGAAAATAAATAAGAAAGGGACGAATGATAAAAATAGAAATGAGGTGGGGCTATTCGGAAGCAGGATTAAGCAACAATTATAGATGACACCAAATATTATAATACAGGGACAGAAACAAAGAAGTGATGCAACATTGGGGCGCAGAAATATTACAACAGTAACACATTAAGAATTAATCTTATAAATACGTGTAATTCAATGGAGTTTCATTAAATTGAATTAGAACAACTCCATAGTTTCGAATATAACGATGAATCTTTTTAAATTCCTTGCCGTTACTATTTTTATGGTAAATGATTCTAGTCTTTATTTGATTTTATATCCATAATAAAAACTAATGCTTTATATATAGGTGTGTTTTTTAAAAGATAACCTCAATGCCTACCCTGCTACTCGTGGATTACAATTATTTATCGAAGTAACACTATATGAAGCCGCTGGGTTTCAGGGAGCTTCAGAGACATTTCAATTAAATCCTTTTGAATGCTTCGAAGTACCCCAAACGTGGGCAACTATTGTCAGTTCGGTCATAATCAAAGATGGTTATTGTGCAACTTTTTTCCAAGAAACGGCTTGCGGAGGTCAATCTGTGTGTGATTGCGGAAAAATTGATTTATTTGCAACACATCGTTTTCTTAATGACAATATGCGATCAATCAGTCCAGAAAATGTGATTAGTTTAGAAAAGACTTGTAATAATCCTACCTAATCCTACCCCTAATAATCCTATCCCTTTAGGTGATTAATCAAGCTATAAATTATATTGGGTTGTAGTCTATATCATAGTAGATTTACAGTCAAATTGACAATTTAAGGGATATAATTCGATATTCATTTTATTATTTTTTGTTTTTATTTGCACTTAATATTATTTTTCAACATTCTAATTTCTATAAACGAAAAAGAATAATTGTTATTAAGCCTTTATGCTTTGCTTCAACGATAAATTAGCCCAAATGTATCTAATAATAAAATTTCACTAGTTATTATAAAAATTTTTAAATTTTTTAAACCTTCTAGCGAAGGTTTCCCAATCTAAGCTGGCCAAACATCGAAAAAAATAAGCTAAAATCGTGAAAAATGATCTTTTTTAAACTTTAAATGAAGATTTCTCAACAAACACAAGTACAAATTTGATGAAATTTTTTTAATTTTAATTCTATGAATCTATAGAATTAAAATAAGATTTTTATCGAATTTGTACAGATAGTTGTTGAAAATGAATCTATAAAAAATATATATATTAATCAAAGTTAACGGTGTTGTTGAGAAATATTTATTAAAATTCAAACCAAAATTTGGTCGCAGTTTTTTTCTAGAAGGTACTAGAATTTTGAGCGAAGCTTAATGACACTTACCTAAGTAAATTTAATCAATTTTTTATATTTTAATTCTTTAGATTCATAGGATTAAAATAAAAAAAAATTGATCGAATTTGGTTAAGTAAATGCTGAGTAATATTTGTTCAAAGATTCAGTACCTATTAAAAAAAATGCTTTATATAACAACAATATTAGAATTTTATTTAGTTTTACCCCAAAATCCTGACACCCAAAATCCTGACATCAAAATCCTGACACTCCAAAATCCTGATACTCAAAATCCTGATACTCAAAATCCTGATACTTAAAATTCTGATATTACAAAATCCCAACACTACAAAATCCTGATACAACAAAATCCCAACACTACAAAAATCCTGACACTACCAAATCCCAATACTACAAAAATTCCAACACTCAAAAACTTGACACCAAAATCTTATCATCAAAATCCCAATATCCCAAAATTCTAATATTCAAAATCCCAACACTCAAAATTTTGACATTGCAAAATCCTGATACTACCAAAATCTTGACATTACCCAAAATCATGATACTACAAAAATCCTAACACGCACATCAAAATCCTGACATATACTCAAATTCTGACATACACTCAAAATCCTGACATATACTCAAAATTTAACATATACTCAAAATTCTAACATATACTTAAAATTCTAATATATACTTAAAATCTCAACACTACAAAAATCCTAATACTATATACAAAAAATCTTAATTACAAAAATCTCAATATACAAAAGTATCACCAATCATATAAATTTATTTGTTGATATTAAAATAATAGTAGCTGCTTAACTATAGGAAGACTTGCATATAATTAACTGTTTAGATCAATTTAATTTTACATCATTTATACAGTTTAAAATATTTTTTTGAAAAAATAAAACCATAAAGAATGAATAAAAAAGAAGTATATAGAAAGTTTTATTAGAGTTGTAGGACTCCACTATTAAAAATAATCAAAATATTTCTGGCTTTAGAGAAGTTAGCATAATAGCAACTTCTTAAAGATAAATAGAATTAGGTTATTACCATGCTAACTTCTCTAAAACTAATTATATGAAAGTTTTTGTATAAGCTGCTCAATATATAATATCACAATTTAAGTTTTAAATGTGTTATTATACTCAAAATCATTTTGTCTATTTTTAATTTTCTTAATTATTAGCTTTATTATTATTTTACTACATGTATTTTATTATTACTATAAATTCTTCAGCATTATTTAATTCTTGTTTTTATTATTATTAGCTAAATGTTTAAGTATGTATTTTAGTTTATAATTGTCTAATTGTTGTTACTTCTATTTTAGATAAGTTCAATTTCCAGGAAAGTGTTGAAGAACTAATAGAATTAAAGATCTTAGTAGTATTATTAATTATTAAGAGATGAGATAAAAGGTTGTTTAAGCTTTTTAATAATATCTTGTAATTATCTCTAAAGTATTCAATAATAACTATAGAATTTTTTTATGTATAAAAACCCAATAAATTTGCTTTGCTTGTTTTTTAGACTAGATCTAAATAATTCTTTCTTTATAATTAAGTTTTTTGTATGATTTCTTAATTATATTGTATATCTTGTCTTTATAACTCTAATGATTATTTTACTACTAATTTACTTTACATATACACTATATATATTTTTAATCTAATTCTACCTATATATATACACACTTACTAAATTCTATCTAATTTAATTTTATATACTTATATATAATATACTACATTCTATATTAATTTATTTATTATTCTAAATTAGACTAGCACTTCAATATCTCATTTTTCTCTTGATAATAGTAATACTATAAATTGATGATACTAAATACCCAAATGATCTAAGCTACAAGAATTATAAAGCTTCTAAGTAGTAAATAGAGGCTTAATAATATAGATTAATTTCAGAATTATTGTAAAAGTAGATAATTGTTTGCTACTGGTTGTTGGCCAAGGCTAAAAGTAAATATTGAAAGTAATTTGATTTCTAATTGTAAGTAGTTATATACTTAGATAATAAGACCAGTAATTGCTAGTTAAATTGTAAACAATTGTAAGCAAAAGGCAATATTAAGTAGCTTTATAACCTGTAGACTAATTGCTAGAAAAATAAAGTTAAAATTAAAGATAATTAGTGGCTTTTAGTAAAATAAAAGGAATTTAAAATATAAGTTTTTGCCTTTATAAAGTTTTTTAGATTACAATATCTTAGTTATAGAATTTACAATAAGAATCATATTCTCACATACATTAAGTTTATTGTTTTATTAGTTTAATTAAATTCTTTTATTTATTATTATATTATTTATTATTATTATTGTTATCTTATATTTCTTATATTATTATTATATAATAAATTATCTCCCTAAATAATTAAAGTTAATATATTAAATAATAACCCTAATCTAGCTTAAGAGTTTCATAACATTATAAATTTTAAATAAAGTTAACAATTAGAGCTAAATTGGATTAATATCTATAATTGCTCTTCTAACCAATTATAACAGTAAGTAATTTTGTCTTGAATCATATACTATCTAATTAAATATGCAACAGACTCAGTTATGATTACATATTCAATTAATTAGTTAGCTGATAAAATATAGATATAAGTCAAGGACCTGTAAAAATTTTAGTTTTTAAATTCAATAAACTTTAGATAAATTTTTATTTAATTTAATAAATTTAGAAAAATTTTATATTTAACAAGTAATATACAACCAAAATTTTTCTGATACTTTCTTGTACAAAATCACAATAAACTTTTTTTATAAAAACAGTAAACTATAGTAGAAAAAAAAATAAAACTGATTAAAACTATAAACCTATATCTGTTATTTAGAGATAGTTCTTATATACTACCTTTTAACAAGCTTAGAGCTTATTACTAACTATGAAGATTGCACTTGTTATTTAGAAGTAGTTTTTATATACTATTTGTTAACAAGTTCAGAGTTTATTATCTATCAACAAGAAAACTAGCAGTATACTTAGCTCTATATATTTTATTAGTTTTGAAAAAAAATATACTTTCTTTTAAGAAGAGTATAAGAGCTATACTTTATATTATTACCCACTTATTTTTTTAACAAAATTTTTGTAAAAAGCAGACAAAACAGTGTATCTTCTTTAGAATAACTGGGCAATATAAAAATATTATAAGATTATAATATAATAAAACACAAACCCTAACCCTAATCTAACTTTAATATACACTATTCTTTACTTAACCCTAACTAGTCCCAAATTTGTATAGATTAAGTTAAATAGTTATTTATTTATATTATAATTTTATAGTATTTCTATATTGCCTAGTTATACTAAAGATCAACCAAAATAGCTTACTCCTATCAAAAGATTAGTATTATTTACTCTATATAAATTGAAATATTGCAATAGATTGCAACTACATGTTTTGTTTACTAACAAATATAGCACTACTCCATGTGATAAGACCTATATCTAATAAGCCACACACAGATGTTTATATAGTCAGAAAAAAATTTTTTTCATTATGGCATAGCTTTATAGTAGAAATATACAAATATGCATTTGTTATACAATTTTTTAAGTCTAGCACAGATTATAATAATGTCTTTTTATTTATTTTTTCTGTTAAATTTAGTATTTTTTTTTTGTTATTTTTTTTTCTTTGTCAGTATCTGTCTTCTTTCTTTTGTTTTTTTTTTGTATTAGTTTTTTCTTTTTTATTAATATTTTTATTTTCTTGGTAATATATTATACTTTTTATCCTTTCATTTTGCCTTTTATAAAGAAAAAAAAAATTTAAGAAAAAAATATGATTCTGCAATTGGTAATATTAAAAAACAAGTTTCAAGTATAGTTTGAAACTCTAATAGAGAAAGATAGTTATATGCAAATCGTATCTTGATACTTTGTTATTGAGTGAGTCTTTTTTATACTTTTAAATAGCTTATATACTATTGTAAATAGCAATAGTTACTATAAATTCTAATAAAAAAGAAAGGCAGAATTATCTAATATAAAAAAAAAATTTTTATAAAGTTGTTCTTTTCTTATTAAAATACAATATTATCAGAATCTTCAATAAATTAGTATTTAAGTTTTTTTAAATATTTTGAAGAATATTATTATAAAAATACAAGTTTGTAATTTAATTTATTATAACCCTGATTAAATGTATAAATAGAGCAATGATATTATAGTAAAATATCCTATTAAGATTTTAACTCTAAATATTTTAAGATATTTTGTAAATATATTAATATTATTCATCAGAAAAGATAATTTTTAGATAAAGAAATAAGGGCGTTATTTTATGGTGACCCGTCGCCATGGCGACCCTATGATTAACCAATCAGATCACATAAAAAAATCATCAA